GACACTCCGAATAATCTTGTTTTCCATTTGCATTAAGATAATTTTTATTACCACACTGGCAGATGATTTTACTTAAGTAAAATGCACTTCATTTAGATCTGTAGCGAATTTAGCTCACAACAGGAAATATGAATAATTAACTCCCTCCGAGAAACAAGACTAAATATCTTATATCATTTTCTTATGTAGAAAATCCATCTTGATTTAAGAATTTTTCTATATTTGTACTTGAAATGAGAAAAAAAATACTTAGTAAGAAAAGCATTTTTGCAGCTTGCATGAATGAAGTATTTAAACATCGCTTGCGCTATAAAAAGGGGGAGGAGACCGAAAGAAACTCTGGGTTTACTGAAAAAAACCTGCTCCCAACCAGGTTAGGTTCATAGAGTAAGTTATTACGGTAACTGACTCGGAGTATAAGTTATCTCTCTTTCAGAAACAGGCTTGACATACCCTGCTTTCTCAGGTTTGACAAACCTCCCATTCTGAAACGGAAAACCCAGAGTTTCCCTCATTTCAGGGTTAACATACTCAGAGTTTTCACTTAACCTCCTTTCTGAAACGGGGCCCCAGGAGAATAAATAGGGAAACAAACGAGGAGAGTAACGAGGGAGACACAGGTGGAGCAACTTAAACAATAATGAGGTAACAAGATGGGCAGGGTCAGACAATAGACAGGAGAGAGCACATGGCACCAAACAAACACAACACAAGCCATGTGCTTACAGAAAAACACAGTGTCATCTGGTGGCCATCCTGGGCACACCAGCTGAAGGCTGTGACACCCCCTCAGTTAAAGCTGTAATAATAGCATTTCATTGCAAATTTGGAAAATGATCCAGTGCGTTATGGTTTGCGGTCTGTAGATTGGTTTCTATTCAATGTGTTTGTACAGCGTTGAGCAATGTAGCCAATCACAGACATATCTGTTGATTTCTTGAACACAACAGACAGTCAGAGGCTTTTAAGTTAGAATCCACTCACCGTACAAATTACAGGAGATTTTGTTCAGGTGTTGTGTTCAGCACGAATTATCTCATTACAACAAAGTGTAGACATGATGTAAATAAGAGATTCATTGTGCAGCATTGAGATCTTCATTGATTATAATGTAACTTTGTGGGGTCGCGATGAACTAAGATGAGTGATTATAAGGGAGTGCTCTTTGCGCCATAGCAATGGACGGCTAATACATAAATATATATATGGAGAGAGAGAGAGAGAGAGAGAGAGAGAGCACCATCACTAATTTAAGAAGCACCCTCAATGATTTGATTGTGGAGCCGGGTCTGCTAGTGTACCAGTGTTTTTTTGTGTGTGTGTTTTTTTTTTTAGCATTAAAAAGTTTGTCTTGTATAGCCCATTTTTGCATGCATGCTCTGTTAAATTATTGTGCAATAAAACACTGTCTACACAAAACAACTTCAAATATGACAATTGACGCTAACCAGAGGGGAGAAAAAATAAAATAAAAAGAGATCTCTTTAACATCCCAAATGTTTCTGCTAGACAGACATGAGGTCACTTTCATATAAAGGAGACTTCCCAGAGGAAAGAAAAATAAAATGTGAGTTATCTTTAACATCTCAAATATTTGTCCTAGACAGAAAAAAGGTTAAGATGGAGATTTTTGCTTGAGTCTCCTGCTTATCTCTTTAACATCCCAAATGTTTCTGCTAGACAGACATGAGGTTACTTTTACATCAAATGGAGACTTCCCAGATGAAAGAAAAATCAAAAGTGAGTTCTCTTTAACATCTCAAATATTTTTCCTAGACAGAAATTAGGTTAAGATGGAGATTTTTGCTTGAGTCTCCTGCTTCTCAAAGTTGTCTCCTGAGACAAAAAATCTAACACTCTCACATTTGTCTCCTTTAAAGTTTTAGAAGATATCTCATCATCATCACACACTGTGCTCAGATTTTTCTCCTTAGCTAGAGACTCTGGAACTCTCACATTTGTCTCCGCCAATGTTTCAAACAAGATCTCAACAACATCCCACACTGTGCTCAGATTTTTCTCCTAAACTAAAGATTCTGGTGGTCTCATATTGGTCTCTTCCAGTGTTTCAAACAAGATCTCAGTAACATCACAAATTGTGTTCTGATTTTTCTCCTTAGCTAGAGACACTGGATCTCCCACTTTTGTATCCTCAAAAGTTTTGAAGAGATCTCAATAACATCACACATTGTGCTCAGGTTTCTCTTACGCTAAAGACTCTGGGGGTCTCATATTTGTCTCCTTTAAAGCTTTATAAAATATCTCAACAACTTTACAAAGTGTGCACCAAGTCAAGTACTTGAAAGGTTCTAAATAAAGTACTTTTTAAAGTACATTAAAGTACTTGAACGGCTCTAAATAAAGTACTAAATAAAGTAACTTTGCAAGTACGTCAACTTATTCTAGTCTACTAATACTCTACTAATACTCTAATGAGAGTTAATAGACATGTAGGTGCAACACTACTTATAGTCAACAGAATGTGTTAAAGTGAGAAATAAACATCAAAATAAAGTGAAAACGTATTTGCAAAGTTACTTATAGTCAGAATGTCTGTTGGGAGACCATGACAATAAAGAGTTAGCAGATATTAAGCAAATAGTCTACTAATACTCTGATGAGCGTTAGTAGACAGGTGCAACATTACTTATTGTCAACAGAATGTTCAAAAGGGACCATCAAAATAAAGTGTTACCGAAAAAAGTAACCCTGGAGCTTTTCTTTACTGAAAGGCAAATAAATGGCTTATGACTCCGTCTTGATTATTAATTGACTTAATTTGATTATTAATACATATTATATGGTAAAAATGTTTGAGCTCATATTGAGACATTTGACATTTGCACACACTGTAAAGTTGTTGAGAGACAAATGAGACAAAGGAGACTAATGTGAGAGTTCCCGAGTCATTAGTGTAGGAGAAAAATCTGAGCACTGTGTGCTGATGATGAGGTCTCTTCTAAAACTTTAAAGGAGACAAATATGAGAGTGTTAGAGTTTTTGTCTCAGGAGACAAGTTTGAAAAGTAGGAGACTTAAGTAAAAATCTCCATTTGATCTTAAAGTAAACTCATTTCTGTCTAGGATAAATATTTGAGATGTTAAAGAGATCTCACTTTTGATTTATCTTTCCTACGGGAAGCCTATTGATACTTTAATTTTGTTTAAACAGAATTGTAAAATGTTTGAGCCATGTTACATAACATTTTGTATTGTGTTAACCCCCCCAAAAAATAAAGCAAGCACATAAGCAACAACTCTACACACCCTATATTTTGATGTTAGCATGTTGTTTAGCTCTCTTTGTCTTAGCTCTCTCCTTCTCTCTTAGGGGTTGCCACAGCAGCATTATCAGCACAGCATTTGGCCCAGATGCCTTTCCTGATGCAACCCAGCACACACACACACACACACACACACACGCTACTTCTCACAATAAGTAGAAACAAAATTGCAAGTGCTTATTAACAGTTCAGTGAGTCATGGCTCCATGGCTCAGGGCGCTCTAACCTGAGATTCACATCTGGGGTTTTCATATTCGCTGAGGAACATCTCCAAAGAGAAGACCCATAACAGGATGGAGTTTACAGCCAGACAGGAACAAATGTCAGAAAATCTCTAATATATTGTCTTATATTTAATAATGTGACATTTTTCCAAGTAAAACGGGACATTCAACAAAATCAAAGGAACTGATTTTATTTGTCCCTAAATATAGTAAGGCTAAACTTTAAACCATGCCTGACCTACGGGTTACACTGCCGTGATGTGAATTACCCATTTTGCCTCAAATGCCACATGGTTAATTCAAAGGTGTTTACCATAGGTTGTGTCTCATTGATCTCATGTGGTCTGCATGCTCGTTCTGTGTTGTTCTCCGAGCTGCAGTCTCTTTGTGTGAGCGCCACAGGGCCGGGCCGAACGGGGTGCACAGCGGGAAGCGTTGAGCTGTAATTCAGGGGACAGATGAAGGCCTGCTGCTGCTGAATTAGAGATCCAGAATTAGAGACTGCTGGAGACACTCTAATTTGCCCTGCCATGTGCAAAGGCATGCATGGCTCAGAGCACTGGCCTGATCGCATGATTAGCGGGTTTGGCTTTGTTTTAAAGAGGAGGATGAGTCTATTAGAAAACATATGAAGGGGGATTTGAAAATGGTTTAGCCAAACAAACAGCATACTGGATGGCAGTAATGGGGAGCTTGTGAAAATACAGCGAAAATTATTAAAAGACTATAACGCAAAACATAATCTAACCATACACTCCAGTATAGCCAAATATGACCTGTGCGAGATTCTGGGGGGAAAAACCTCTTTGTGACATTTGCGATGATTTTTGACTCTTTCAACAAAGTTTTTTAAACTGAGCATTAATGGATGGAAATTACAGCCTAGTGAAATGTAAATGACACCACTGTTACATGAGTTCATCAGTGATTATGTTAAATACAGTTATGATGAAGACATCATAACATCGCACTTAAACTATAACGGGATGTTTTCTATGATGATGGTGACTTTCTACTGAAAATAAAGTCTAAAGTGCTGCTGAATTTCACTGCTGTTGCATTGAGAGCCCAGAAAAAAAGTTGACTGAGCACAGAAACAGCAAAACAGCAGAGAGCAATCCTTCCTATAGGAAATTAGGTAATTAATCAGAGCAGGATGATTAATCTTGAGCTGTGGGCCTCTTGAAAGATTTTTTATTATTACTTCGACAAACCACAAAACGAATACTATTGGAGAAACTGGAAATCAGCTAAACATAAATCAAATTGTGTATACATTCAAACTTAGCAAAGGTTTTACAGCCTGAAAAACCTTTTTAAGTTGCTCAAATTTCATAAGAGATCATTTTATCTTTGTATAATGCCATGTAGTTGAATATCTGTAAGTTTTTATAATGTCTTTGCTTCACTTTTCCTCAATAAAAGATGATGCCTATAGAACAAATACGCTGATCTGAACACCCTTTGGTCCCATCAACAACTTCAGGTTCCTGATAAGAAAAAGGTTCTTTCCTCAACATAGTGTGTTAAGGCTCATTCATAACAAGAAAGATAACTATAATAACGATAACTAACTATAATGGTTAAATTCGTTGCCACACTAAGCAGCAATAATATTCTGTTTATTATAAGCGAGTTCTGCAGTTTTGTCGTCTGACCCTTTAAATCCTCAAGCTATTTTATAGTGATTATTTGCTCTCAAATCAAATCATTGATCAGCTTAAGTATACAGAGCTCAAATAAAATATGACGACTTGTCAAATCACCAAACCTCATGGTGCTTGTGACATGATTTCATTATGTTAAAGGCATAGTTCACCCAAATATGAAAATTCTGTCATTAATTACTCACCCTCGTGTTGTTCAAAACCCTTAGACCTTTGTTCATCCTTGGAACACAAATTAAGATATTTTTTGTGAAATCCGAAAGCTTTCTGACCCTGCATACACAGCAATGCAACTGAAACTTTCCCAGGCCCCGAAACTATAAGGACATCGTTAAAACAGTCCATGTGACAGTGATCAGTGGCTCAACCGTAATTTTATGAAGCTGTGAGAATACTTTTTGTGTGCAAAGAAAGCAAAAATAACGACTTTAAACAACAATTCTCTTCCTTGGCAGCGTTTAGCTGCCACCATTCACGAGAGTACCACGACGCATGCATGTGGTGTTGCTGACGTATCATCAGAAATCTGCATCAGAAAGCTCTTCGATTTCATCAAAAATATCGGTAACACTTTAGAACAGGGATGGGCAACTGGCAGCCTGCAGCATCTTCAAATACAGCCCGCTGGACCATTGTAACACCCCTGTGGACTGTTTGTTGTGGTTTCTTCCCCTGTTGTTGGTTTAGCCCGTTCAATTATTAGTTAATCAACTCATTGTGCTCACCTGTCTGTCCCTCGTTAACTGCCCTATATCTGTTCCTGTCTCTTGTGTTCTAGTTTGTCGGTTATTGTGAATGTTACCCCGAGTGTGTGTGTCTGTCTCTGCCTTGTTGTCACTACATTAAATATCCTTGTCATCCTGCCTGCCTCCACACACCTGGACCGTGACAACCATACTATAGTCTCGTCAATTTTGATACATTTGAGAAGTGACTAGGAAGGATGTTAATTATAACCCAAACCAGTAGAGGTGTATAGTTCCCTCAGATCACTGTTATCATCACCGTAATTACAGCGTAGTAGTAGGATGAGCGTGTTCATTTCAACGATCACGAAAATTTGCAAAAAGAAATGAAATTTACTACGAAAATTGTGTTTTCCAGTCAAAATGGGAAACAGATTATCTTTTTACTGAGTTTAAGGGGGCACCGATGTGCTTATGTCTGGAAACAAAATCGGTAATGAAATATTTTAATTTTAATCGATTACACCACTGCTCACAAAGAGAAGTATGAAAAATACACAGGTGATGCCAGAACTGCTCTCATCTCAGACTTAAAAGGTAAATTACATCGTCAGCAAAACCTTTTTGCAAAATGCATGACTGTGCAAGAATCATCAGTAAAGGCTTCTTATGCTGTTTCACTTGTGCTTGCAAAAGCGAAAAAGTCGTTATCAGAGGGCGAAATTGTAAAGCAATGCGCGATTGAGCATTTGTAGATGAGAAAATGGCCAAGAACTTTGAATCTGTATCTTTGTCACGCCGAATAGTAACACGTCGAATTTCTGAAATCCAATGTCAAATCCAAGAAAAGCTGAAAAACAATCAACAATTGCAGATACTTTTCTCTCGTGCTGGATGAAAGCACGGATGTGAGTGATGTCAGTCAGCTCCTGATCTTTGCAAGAACGATCACAGAGAACGTCTCGGGTTACGAGACACTACGTCCTCTAGGGGTCGCTATGGGGAACCTAGAGGATGCAGTTCGAAATTCCCTTGAAAGGGAACGTCTCAGGTTACGTATGTAACCATGGATCCCTGAGTAGGGAACGAGACACTGCGTCCTCTAGGTTCCCCATAGCGACCCCTAGAGGACGCAGTTCGAAGTTCCCTTGAAAGGGAACTTTGATATTCAAGAGGAGCTGTTAAACATAGCTTCATTACATGGCACCACAAAGGGAGAGGATATTTTCAAAGCTGATGAGAATACGGTACACGAATATGGGTGCTTTGCTAAACTCTCTGCTGTTGTTACTGATGGAGCACCAGCAATGCAAGGGAAAAAAATCAGGATTCGCTGGACTTCTTCAGAAGAGTGGCATTAACTGTCCAGTACTGCACTGTATAATACATCAGGTTAGTAGGCTTATTTTTATTTAATTGTAACATACATAAAATAAAGTGTTATGTTATGTGATCAGTAAAAAAATATTATTTGCTACAGGAGGCCCTGTGTGCAAAGACTCTGGACTTCGGCCATGTCATGAATGTAGTGACGAAGGTCACTAATCTTATTCGAGGTGGAAACAGGGCACTCAATCACAGGAAGTTTACTGCCTTTTTGGATTAAGTTAGTTCTGCTTATGGGGATTTACTGATGCATACTGACATCAGATGGATGAGCCATGGCAAGTGTCTGGAAAGATTCATTGCGCTGCGCAATGAAATCCCTTTGTTTCTGGAGGACAATGTTAAGTCGGACATGAGCGATTACTGCTGCAAACTACGCGATCCAGAATTTCTTTGCGACATGGCCTTCCTCACAGATATGACCACACATCTGAACAATCTGAACACACAGCTACAAGGACGGGCTCAAACTGTTTCAGACCTCTATGCGCATATGAATGCTTTCCAACACAAACGTAATCTTTTTCACAACGGATTTTCGTCTGTTCTGGTAAATTTGACAGACTTCCCTGCCTGCGAGGAGATGCGCAAAGACGCTCCCGAGTAATTGAAAGTCTTCGAGAGCAATTCAAAATTCGCTTTCAGGACTTCCACGACATGCAGCCTCGCATAGACCTTGTCGAGGTCCCTCTGAGCGCAGCTGTCAGTGAGCAGCCTGGAGAGATGCAGCTAGAACTCTGAGAGCTTCAGTCCGACCCCTTCTTTCAGGCAAGGCATAATGAGAGGGGGCTTGAATTTTGGAAACGACTACCCGAGTCCTGTTTTCACCTCCTCAGAGATGTTGTGCAGCACTTACATCTGTGAAAGTAGTTTCTCAACAATGAAGCACATCAAATCAAAAGAGAGAAACAGGCTTACAGATGACACTATTTCAGCTACTGCAAGTTGTCGGTACAAACTTTGAGATTGACATTGAATCAATTGTGCACCAACAGGACAGGCCACAAGTTTCTCATTGAGATGTCTTTTTGATAGTGTGGACTGTGAATATTCTCTGAACTGAAAGGTAAATGCATGTGTTTGGGGGTAGCATGCTATGGATTTTTAGCACTGAATGATTATATTCTTATATTCAATAAGGGAAATCTTTAATAGTAATATGTGGATTTTGGTAACATTTTTGTTAAGCACTTTATTTCAGGTTATGCTGAAAATGTTCTGTAAGCTAGGACCTGCATTTGCTTGTGGATGAAGTTGACCATTTAAATGATCATAATTGCAGTTTTATAGTTAAAATCCTTTAAACACACACACACATTGAACTAATTTTACAATAAGATATTGAGGAAGGTGATATAAAATGTGTGAGTGTGAATTAGTAAACTGACCCCTTGGTTTAAAAGACAAAAATTTCTGGCCCTCGTCATTATCATAGTTGCCCATCCCTGCTTTAGAATAATGGTAATTATGGTAATTAACAAGTAACTATACAGGAAGTAATAGGTAGAACTACATTAACACTGAACTTTATACTACTAACTAATATGGACGCAAGATTAACTAAGCAGTAAGTAATAGGAAATTTATGACAAAGGTAGTTCCTTATTAGGTATTCAATAATTACTAAATAAATATATAATCATTGAGAACTACTTGATAGCAATGACCAATTAATAAAGAATAACCAATTAATTACTTATCACAACATTAACAAGTCTAAAAACTTATTAAATTGATATCAACTCCTCACTAATTATTCAAGATTTTCCTTGTCAGCCCGCAGGAACCACTAGTGATCTGGATCATTAATTTAAAGGGAACATGTTAACAAGTTAAACAACTTAACCCCTCACTAATACTCAAGCGTGTCCTTGTCAGCCCACAGGAACTACTAGTGATCTGGACCATTATTTTAAAGTAAAAAATGAGCTCAGGTCCAGAACACTGGTGGTTCCTGTGGGCTGAAAAGGTAACGCTTGAGTATTTACTGAAGGGTAAACTTGTATTTGGGGGGATATAATATTCATAAATTACTTTCTGCAAAGAACCCATTTCAGGTGCAAGCTTCTAAAAAAGAAATTTTATGACCATGTTAAGAATAAAAAATACAACAGTGTACTTTTTAGACTTGTTACTGTTGTGATGAATAATTGGTTACTCTTTATTAATTGGTCATAGTTAGCAAATAGAGTTAGAAAAATATATTTTTATTTAGCAATTATTGAATACCTAAAAGGAATTACCTTTATCCTAAATTTGCTATTACTTACTGCTTAGTTAAAATTGCTTGCATATTAGTTCATAGAATTAAGTTCAGTGTTAATGTAGAACTACCTATTAATTCCTGCATAAACATGAGCCGCATCCGAAAGGTAAAGGGGGAGGTGTTGCTACAATTTATAATAATATTTTTAGTATTTCTCAGAGCTCTGGTTTTAAGTATAATTCGTCTGAAGTAATGGTGATTCAAATAACATTACCCAGAGAAACAAGTGTAAATGATAAATCCCCTGTGACGTTTGTACTGGCTACTGTATACAGGCCACCAGGGCACCATACAGACTTTATAAAAAAATTTGCTGATTTTCTATCCGAGTTAGTCCTGGCTGCAGATAACATCTTAATTGTTGGTGATTTTAATATCCATGTGGTATAATGAGCACACTCGCGCCTTAAAGAGAGCAACCAGGAAAATGGAGCACAGCTGGAAGAAAACAAAACTAGAGGTATTTCGTATTGTATGGCGGGAAAGTACTTCTACTTATTGTAGAGCTCTTAAAACTGTTAGATCTAATTACTTTTTGTCTCTCTTAGAAGAGAACAAACACAACCCCAGGCATTTATTCAATAACGTGGCTTGAAAAATAAAGCATCAACAAACACAGACCCTTCCCAACAGCACATCAGTAATGACTTTTTGAACTTTTTCACTTCAAAGATTGATACTATTAGAGATAAAATTATAACCATGCAGCCGTCAGCCACAGTATCGCATCAGATGCACTATAGATCCCCTGAGGAACAATTCCACTCATTCTCTGTTATAGGACAGGAAGAATTGTATAAACTTGTCAAATCATCAAAACCTACAATATGTGGATATAGACACTGATGGCGCCGCAAATGGCAGCCAGGACGCTGAGCTCCGTGATTCTTCTATTGTTTTTGTTTGTTTGTTCTGTGTTTTGTCATTCTTCTTCTATATGTTTTACCAGAGACAAACTCCTTAACATTAAGCAGCACACCCCAGACAATATTTTTCCGGTTTTTGATTATTCGGACGTTTTGTTGGACATTCTAGTCGGAGGTAGAGTGGTGTTGTTCAAACGCGCGTGCAGACGCAGAAGGGGGAAACGTGCCGGCGCCCTGGTGAAGCTCCGCGCACGCGGCATTCGGACTGCACTCCCAAGCATTCATCTCGCGAATGTCCGTTCCCTTCCTAACAAAACGGATGAACTTCTTCTCCTCACCCGCACCAACAAGGACTTTTCTAAGTCCCACCAGAGACAGTAATATATTGGATCACTGTTACACCACAATAAAGAATGCATATCACTCTGTCCCACGAGCAGCTTTGGGGCTCTCTGATCACTGTTTAGTTCATCTAATACCGACCTACAGGCAGAAACTGAAATCAGCTAAACCTGTATTAAGGACTGTAAAAATATGGACTAATGAAGCAGAGCAGGATTTACAAGCTTGTTTTGACCTCACTGATTGGAGCGTCTTTGAAGCTGCTGCCACCGATCTGGACGAGCTCACAGAGACTGTAACTTCATATATCAGTTTCTGTGAAGATATGTGCATTCCTACCAGGACATTCTTATCATTTAATAATGATAAACCGTGGTTTACTGGGAAACTCAAACAGCTTTGTCACGCCAAAGAGGATGCTTACAGAAGTGGGAATTAAATCTTGTATAACCAGGCCAGGAACAGACTAACAAAGGAGATCAGAGTGGCTAAAAAAACTACTCAGAAAAGCTGAGCTTTCAGCAAACGATCCAGCGTCAGTATGGACTGGTCTGTGGAACATCACCATGTACAAGACACCACCCCCACAGCTTGCGGAGAATCAACAACTGGCTGACGATCTGAATGTGTTTTACTGCAGATTTGAAAAGGATCGTCTACCACCCCCCATCCGCTCTGAT